AATTATATTGCTTGATAGATCAAGGAGAAACAGGAAACTTCTCATCGATCTTTCTACCATGTTCCTCATGAAAGCCTGACATTTGCCCTCGCCTTGAGGTTAATCACTCTTCTCTCCACATATACTTCTGCTGAGGAATAAGTTTTAACTTACGTTTTATCTGCTTTTGGATTTTTGCTTCCCTTAAAGTTGACAATAAATTCTATTTTTTAAAGTGATGAGATACACGGGACTAACTAGCTATATGTTAATTACCTCTTTATTGAAAAATTGTAATGCAGCAAAAAATGGGTAACAAGAAAATTTATTCAAGAATATTTATTTGGGGCTGGCCCTGTGGCTTGGTGGTTAAGTGCGCGCGCTGCGATGCTGGTGGCCCGGTTTCGGATCCCGGGTGCGCATCGAGGCACCACTTCTCCGTTCATCCTGGGGCCGAGTCCCACATGCGACAACTAGAAGGATGTGCAGCTACGACACACAACTATCCACTGGGGCTTTGGGGGGAAAAATAAAATAAATAAAATCTTTAAAAAAAAAAAAAAAGAATATTTATTTGCAGGACTAGTTAGGGGAATATTCTAAATCGCACCAATCAATTGTACATATTTTTCCATTTCACTCACTGTAGTAATTGCATATTTACTTCAATGACCAAATTACCCTTTGCTTTTAGTAACACACAGATACAACTTCATATGCAATTGGCTATAGAATTTCTCCAAACTTTGGAACTATGTATCTAACAGATAAAATATATTTATGATCTCTCCATGAGTGGTTATATTGTTATCCCAAAATTCATCTATGGATCCTGCAAAATTTTACAGAATTCTAGGTAAAATAAGCATGTGGATAATATATGACTATAGTGAATATTAGATCCTACACTACGAAGAAAACAGCATATAAATAACAAAGTGCAAAGCAGAGCCAACTAAGCCATATTGTTAGTGAGGAGATTATAAGGAAAGTGGTTCCAAGGAGGTATTGCAGGCTAGATCCCCCAGGATACAAATTCTGCGATGGAGAAGAGCATGTAGGAAATTTTTTAGGGAGTGCTTTCAGGATGAAAACCTGTGAAACGAAGGGAATGAGGCAGACACAGAAGGCGAGTTGAGATGCAATTCAGTCTCAGTGGGAGCTTCAGCTGATTCGCCAGGGAACTCCGAGACTGTGGGGACCCTTCATAGTTTTTCCAAATTGGGGTGAGGGTACTGGCCCTTTATAGCCCCTGGTCAACTGGCCATTGCATCTGTACAACCCTAGAGGGAGTGTGCCCTTGGGTAAAATGCCTCTTTTTTAACCAGGAAATTCCCAAAGAGGAATTACAGCTAGTTATTGTCTTCTGGCAGCCCTCTACATAGCTGAGCTAGTAAGTCCTCCAGTCACAAAGGAGGACCTGAATGGCACAGCACAGCATCCACGGCGGAGGTGATATTTGAAGTGAACATGCTGATCCTTGAGGGAGAAGTAACAATTTCTCAGGCCAACTTCAGAGAGGGTGTGTGTGGGTGTAGAGGATGTATTCCAGGTGTGTCTTTTGTGTGTGGAGGCGTGGGCAGCTTATTTCTAGAGGCAATGGGGATGGATTGAAAAGTATTGAGCAGAGATTAAATATGATTAGACTTGCATTTTAGAAAAGTCAATTATTCTTGTAGAACTGTGGATTGAAGATATAAGAGACTGGAGACTGAGAATGCTGTTACTATTTAGTTATACACACATTCTATACATAGCACATGTGTACATATATATATATACACACACACACACACGTATATACACACTATATACATAAACCTTTTCTAAGTGTTTTTGAAGGTATAGTTTAGATATAGTGAAATGCACAGATTTTAAATTTTCGTCTTCTTTTAGAGGTTGATCTTCAGCAAGGGTTGACAAACTACAGCTCTCTGGCCAGCCACCTGTTTTTATTAATAAAGTTTTATTGGAACGTAGCCATACCTTGTTTATGTATTGCCTGTGGCTGCTACCTGCTGCAACAGCAGAGTTTGCTAGTCGTAACAGAGGAAGAATGGCCTGCAAAACATAAAATATTCGATCTTTAACCCTTTACAGAAAAAGTTTGTTGACCCTTGATCTAAGGTTTCCTATCTTCAAGTAGTATTGCGTCATTTCACATGTAATGTAAAGATCTCATTACACTATATTTTTTTCTCCTTGCCTCCTATCCTCTGTGCTACTGTAGTCATACAGTTTACTTCTACATCTGTTGTAAACCCTCTAATTCATTGTTACTATTTTTGTTTTAAATGATTATCTTTTAAAGAAATTTAAAAATGTGAACAAACATTTTATATTTACTGACATGTTTACCATTTTCCGCATTCATTTCTTCATGTGGATATGAGTTTCAATACGGTAAAATTTCCTTGAAGCTGAAAGATTTACATTTTTTAGTACATAACTATTGGTGATGAATTCTCTCAGCTTTTGTCCAAATATCACTGTTACTTGCATGTTTAAAGGATATTTTTTTCTGGATATAGAATATTAGGTTGACAGTGTTCTTTTTCTTCGCTTTTCATGGCTTCAGATACATTGTTCCATTGTCTTTTGGCTTTCCTTGTTTCTGCTAAGATGTTACTGAACTCTGGGTACTTTTAAGATTGTCTCTTTAGCATTGTTTTTTACCAGTTGTTTATGACAGACCCTAGTGTGTTTTTCTTTTTATTTGTTCTGCTTGGAATTCAATGAATTTCTAGATATTTGGGTTTATATTTTTCAACTTATTTCTGCAAATGTATTTTTTTCTGCCACAATCTCTATATTTTCTGCTTTTAGTACTCCATTTACAAGATTGTTAGGACACAATATTATCTTGTTAATCTTTAATCCTTTTTCCCCTCCAAGCTTCAATTTGAATGGTTTATATGGCCTTGTATTTGAGTACACTAATGTTTTCTTCTCAGTTTCTAGTCTGCTGTTAAGGTCATCCAGTAAATTTTTTATTTCAGATAGAATTTTCAGTTCAAAAACTTCCATTTTTTTTTCTCTTTTGTTGTTTCTTTTTTCTTCAATATTTATATATGTTTTTTCAAATAATGGAACTAATTTATAATCTCTGTTTTAAAGTTCTGGTCTGCTAGTTTAATCATCTCTGTCATTTTTCAGTCTATTTCTGTTGACTGCCTTTTCTCTGGTAATGAGTCATATTTTCCTGCTTCCCCAAATGTCTAGCATTTTTTAAAATTTTATACAGGACATTATAGATGCTATGTTGTTGAGTTTCTAAACTTTCATGGCCTTTCTTAATGGAGTGTTGAAAATTGTTTGAGCAAAGAGTTAATTTACTTGTGGATCAGATCGACCTTTTCTCAGACTTATTACCAACCTTTGTTCAGATGTGTCCAGAGTAGCCATTATTCTAGGACTAAAGTATTCTAATCCCTGTCTGGGATCTCTACTGAATTCCCAGGGGTGTTCAACAAGTTCTCTCAATCTTGTCTAGTCTGAAATCAAACTACCCCCAGCCCTGTGCATCCTCTGTTGTTCATTTCAGAATGCTCTTCACCTGGTCTTGTGGAGTCTTGGTCTGTAAATACACAGCTTAGTATTCATCTAGAATCTGGACTCCAGAGACTCGTTGGTGATCCTGTGCAGATTTCCAGAGCTCTTTCTCTGCACAGCTGCCCCCTCTCTGGTACTCTGTCCTACAAACGCCAGCTTACTCAGTAGCTTCAATTCTGATCTGTCTCCATCTCAGTGATGCTCCTGTAATCTGTTTAGGATATTCTTCCCTGTGCCACGATCTGGAAAGTGAACGAGGCAAAAAGCCAGGAAGGAAGCTGGCAGGGTTCACCTCATTTGTTTATCTTCTCTCACGGATGAGGGTCCTGCACTGTCTGTTGTCTAATCCCTAAAAAGGGTAATTTTACACATTTTGTCAGTTTTGTAATTTTTTTATGATGGGAAAGCTATTCTCATAGCTGTAAGCAGAAATAAGCCATATAAACATCATTAAATGAATGATTATCTGTGTTGATTTACAAAATTACTTTTATTAGCATAGTCCTCATAGAATAAATTATTTTATTGTCAGCCTTTAAATTCCTTATTTGAAAAGTGATGCATATAATTTGATATACTATATATTGGATAATTTACTGAATATTTTTCTATCATTTACTCCCATTAGTAGCCAAACTCACTCAAAAAATTATATCACCTCTTAGCACTAAGCATTATGCCATATTTTGTTATGTATTTATTGCAACCATAGTTATTTTACATACTGCCATAAATTAAGCCTTTCTATTCTATATTAGTACTATTTTTCTAATAAATGTTTTTGCATTCTTACTATTTGCCAATTATTGTATTTTACCAAAAGAAGTTTCACTTCATTTAGTAACTCAAATTATTTTCCTAGGAATGTGGTTATCAAGAGTCATTGATTGTATATCCCTTACGTGTTAGTAAATATATTGCCTGATTAACTACATACCTTAGTTCTCATGAGTACAAGGGCTTAATGTAAGACTAGGCCTCTTCTTAAGAACTACTAGTAGTCTGTGAACTCTAAAGTTTTTAAAGCAAAATATATTTTAGAGTTGTATGTAATTGCTTTTTGTTTCATTTATAATCTACTGAAAGATAAAACCCCACATGAGGAATTGATAGATTGTTACATATTTTTTCCTAGTGATTTTTAGTTGAAGAATTCATGGTAAATTGATCAACCCTCAGCCAATTAGACTTTGACATGTACTAATCAGATCTAAGTGAGGAATTATGAAGACATTTGCTCGGGAGAAAATGAGCACATAATTACACCATAAAGAGGTTAGAGTATCAATGTTACCCAGCTGGAAGAATATTAGCTGAAGTCTCAATGGCACCTATAAAGGACACTTCATAATGTATCTGTGAAATATGGCACTGCCAAGGCCAATTAAAAGATGTAAAGTAATCCATTGTCAATTGTAGAAGTTCAACTTTAAATATACATTTTCCGCTCTTGCCTCTCCTGTCTTCAGGTGCTGGGGGATGGTCTCCATCTGACAGTGACCATTACCAATGGCTTCAGGTTGACTTTGGCGATCGGAAGCAGATCAGTGCCATTGCAACTCAAGGAAGATACAGCAGCTCGGACTGGGTGACCCAATACCGCATGCTCTACAGTGACACTGGGAGAAATTGGAAACCTTATCATCAGGATGGCAATATCTGGGTGAGTAAATTGTCAGACAGGCAAAGACACAAAATTGAGATGCAGATGTTTGAAAATGGTAGAGGACTCACATTTTAAAATATTACTGGTCCTCACTCTGAAGTGTAAGCACTAGTCAATATTTATCTATTAAAAACCATTGAGAAGAGATATCAACGTATATATATTTATCTGTTGTTATTAATTGAAGAAACAGTTTCCTCAGGCTGCAATTTCTATCCATGGCCTAGGGCAATGGGTCTCAATCTGGGCTATACATATGAATTACTTGAGGGGTTTTGAAGTACATGGATACCAGCCACACCCAGACCAATTAAATTAGAACCACATAAGTAGAAAATAGATTAATGATACTGATAACTTTTTTACAGACAGAGATCTTCAATTTGAGTAAAATATTGAAATTATGAGGAAATAATTTAGAGGAATAGGAGCAGTGATATATGGTAAAGAAAGAAAATTCCCATATGACAGTAGTAGTTTAAACCCTTACAGATCTATATTCACTTTATTCTTCTATTATGAGAGAAAAATATCAAGTTTAACCCATTACTCTTAACATATTTCAATTAAATTGGAAAGTTGCGTGTATTTAATCAACTATTCACCACACTTGAATAAATATTTTAAAATACTAAATTTTGAGGAATCTATTTTAGTTTAATTATTTTATAAAACGACCGTAACCAAAATCAAGTAAAGCCATCAATATTAAAGAAGAAGAAGAAGGAGGAGGAGAAAGAGGAAATTCGCTTTTAAAATTGTGTCCCTCACTGCATTAGGCAGGGTACTGGGGATTTGCAACCCGATCAGGGCCCACTTTTGGAGAATTTATATTTTCAAAATCCTCAAGTAATTTTTGTGAGTAGCCAGTTTAGAGTTCCCAGCCTGGATAGGTAGTCATTTCCGTAGCAGGATCAAACGATAGTAACGGTCATGTGAAATAAGGATATAATGTCTTGACAATAAAAAGTGCGTATGCCAGATTGTGTTACTGAACACAAACATAGGTTCTTTTACCCACCACACAAGAGGGGCCAAAAGAAAAGAAAACTAGAATGCCAGGCTTGTGGCAAGGAAAGGGGTTTTTATTTCGGGTGACATCAGCTGGGAGAAAAGAGTAAGTACTCAAATTCGTCTTCCCAAAGGATGAAGGACGGGAGGCGAGGGGTTTTAAAGGTTGTGAGGAATGTGACTATGTGCAGGGAGAGGGGTGGCGAGATAAGGGAGTCTGCAGGTGAGTGTCCTTGGTTGTCTGCTTCTGTGATGAGTGGCGGATTCCGGCGCCAGCAAGCTGAGGAGTTGGGGTCTGGGAAACTTCAATTTCTTGATATTCGCTGGACATCACTTTTCCTGCAATAAACTTCAAGGACCCATAATTAGCCAAAACTTCAGGGTGAGGCCACTTGGGCTTTAACAATTTGTAACTTTTATTTGCCTTGTGTGAGGGGAACGTCAGTGCTCTAATCTCAGCACTAGTTTCCTGCATACGTGAAGCTTGGGGAAACAAAGGTTAAAGAAACTGATATTTATGTATTGATGTGACTAAAGAAGCTGGGAAAGGGGATGGGTGCTTTTGGTTTTAACCCCATATACGCTGGGTTTAAGGTAGGGGAACAGACATCAGGGCCGGTATCAAAAACCAACTTCAAGGGGAACTGATTTGGAAATGACTAATATAAGCAAATGGGGGTGGGGAGGGAGCTCAGGGGGGTCAGGTGTTGCATGACCACAGATCGCTGGGCACCTCTCCATAGGCAAAAAGTTTCGGATCTGCTGAATGCGACATTCCTGATGAATTCAAGTTATTTTCTTATCAGGGGGAGAAGGAACAGTTTGGGCAGAGGACTTAAATCTTCTGCTAACAAGTCATTCTCTCTGTTGGTTACTGACTGGCTACTGATTAGCTTGCCTATGTGCAGTTCTAAGCATTTCTCCAAAGCGCACTGCAAGAATATAATGACGGGGGTGGTTAGACGTGGAGTCTGTCATGCCAACTCACTTTCAATTAGTCCTTTAGAAATAACTTCTATCAAGCCATAATTGTACGGCAAGAACATTTGTATATTGGGATGTGTAAGTTGTAGGAAGCCAGTAGTGGGGAAAATGTCTCTTTATGGAAAGTCTTCATCTCACAATTAAGATAATTTGAAGTCTCAGGCATAATGTATAGAAAAGTGGTTTTCAACCTTGGATACACAATGGAAAAACCTTGAGAGCTTTAAGACATATGGATGTCTGGGTCTCCCCTGAGATTGGGATGTAGATGGTCTAAGGTGCAATCTGGGCATTAGGATTTTAAAGTCCCTGGGTCATTTTAATGGACGGCCAACACTGAGAACCATATTTTAGACTGTTTTTTGGCCTGTGGATAGGGTGGGGATGGAGGAGGTTTATTGTGAACAACAGTAGTAGAATAGAAAATTAGAAAGGACCTTTCTTAAAGTTTAGCAGAGAGAGAGAGAGAGACTGACTAGATGACCAACCACCCAAACCACAGAGCAACAGACTGAGAGTCAACAATTAAGGCTCAGATCACAAACTCTTTAATAAAGCACTCATTATTTTCTGACTTTCTGTGGACTCTAATCTAAAATCAGATTAGCATGTTGATAAAATTATTTGAGGGGCTGCAAGCCAGACTCCAAACTGTCTTTCACATTTCTGTTTTTGTAAAGTTTCCATCTCGCAATTAAGAGTGTATCAAATCCTTTGCTATCAAAATGCAGGAAGGTAGTAATACAGAGGGCTGCCACAACACAGCGATACTTAAGCTTTAATTTGCTCTCAGATACGTAGCAGTTAGAGATAGTCCCATTCTGGCTAAATACAGAGACATAAGTTCAAAGGGCTAAGGAGGGTAAAATTTTCCAGGGTGACTTGGATTCTTCTGGTTTACATAAAATGCCAGTGGTTGAATCAGGGAGACAGACATGCAGTGAAAATATCACAAATTGTGAATGTAGGCCATGTCTATACACAGGACTCTCAACCTTTCCTGATGGTGGTAAAGAGTTTATTTCCATGGTTTTCTGCCTTTCTGGTGTTCACTTTGTTTTTTCCTTTCCAATCATATATTTCTCATTAAAAATTAAGTATGTGATAAGAGATGAGTGATTATTTCTAGATGAAACTATAGTGAGTTAATTATAAAATTAAAGTCAAAACAAGGTTGAGACACAAACTACATATTACAAAATATATTTACATGCCAACGAGCCTACAACATAACGATTATATTACTTTAATAATCTATGACAGAATTGTTTTAATCCTTGCTAATGTGAAAAATAGTCCATTGCTCTGATGTATACTAAAAGGTAAAATTCATTGTTTCCTAAAAGTTCTTGGGTACTTCAGAGCTTATGTCTTAACACGCATTAAGTGACTAAAATTTAGCATGTATGAATCTCAATAAAAAATACACTTTGGGCTTAAGATTATGAAAAATGGTTAATTAAATATTAGATTTTCTGTTAATCCAACTACTGCTTAACATAATATATATTGTACTTACACAAAAGAGATTTTTGACATAGGTAAGATTGGATGGCTTTTTGATAGACAATACCCTATAGAATGTAAAGTTGCGGATACTCAAAAGATTTTACAGTGATGCAGTTTTGAGGTTGTTTTGCCTATCCATTCCTAAAATGATTGATTATCTGAGAATGCAAAGTAATGTAAATTCAATCATTTGATATTGTTTTTAACAAATGTCAGTGGTTATTCTTTGTATAAGTGCAGGAGAAATGGACAACATGAGTAATTTTATTATAATATTCTTATTAAATGCCCATATGGAGATTCTGAATTATTTTATGACCATTAGATAATATGCTAAAACAAGTGAAGAACAAATCACGTAGATGAGAAATTATGACAGTTTCACAAGATTTTAAAGTCATGAATCTCACACTATGGAATTAGAATGGCTCTTGAAAAGAGTCCTGAGGAATGGTTTATCTGAATATTTAACACTCAAAGATGTGAGTTGTTAAATGTGCTTAACTAGTCAAACTTTCTCATTACTCTTTGATAATACCAAGCTTAATAGAATTCTTTATATTTTATCCCCAATGCCATTTCTTTTTATTTAGAATTTCTTTCCCAATGTAAAAGGAAAATATATGCCGCTTGGTAAAATTGTCAAAAAAAATATCATTTACATATTCCACACACTCTAATTTGCATATTTCTCGAGGTGTTTTCAGGTTCCCTAAGAATAATCTGTTGGAGGAAGAAGTAGTCTATATAAGCATTTTCTGTCAAAAGTACACTAAACATTTCATTAAATAAGAATTCCAGCAGATTTTTGCTAAGAGGCTGCATTTAGTTTTGCTTGGGAAATTCACTTACTGGGTTTTGAATGTAGATATTTGGAGCCAAAATAGGAAATTAGAGTATTAATAGTGAATGCCTTTTTACATAGCACTGTTGTTTTGCAAGATAGTTAACATACTACAAATATACCTATAATGTGAACATAATTTTCTTTTTCTTTTTAAAAAATTTTTCTTAAAAGATGAGAAAAATGCTTATATATTCCTAATTGCTTTTTAAAACTGTTTTGATCCCTCTTGTTAATAGTAAGCAGGTAGCAGACTGGGATCAATAACCACTGAATATATTAGATGGAGAATCCCACAGAACAGAAATGTTTTATTATATTTAAATTACATGGTAAAATACTTATCAAGAATATAGGAAAATATAATTTCATATTCTCTAAGCAACATTAAATAGAATATTAATATGCTAGATGTGTTAAAAATCTGGATCTCTTTGTTGCTTACATGCTTTTCTTACATACATATACATACACTTAAATTTCACTTTTTTTCTAATAAATTCGAAACATTTAAAAAATCTGGAAAGCAAGTACAGTAGTCTGCAGATTAATTTATTAAATTCTTTGATTTTTTGAATTTCAGGTCAATAGCTTGAACATGTATCCTCTACTTTCTTTTTAACCAAATATCCCATCAACTGATATTTACATAATAAAAGTTCCCAAAACATCTTTCTAGATTAGCCTATAACCAGGTGGTTGGCAAGTGAAAGCCAAGATATGGATT